CCAAAGAATGATGCTGTAGCCAATGAGACAAACCGGTTGTGGACCAACATTTTATTTTTAGGCTCCACCAACATCGTGTTCAATAACATCAGCAGAGCTCCAGGCTCTGCTCATGATGCTGCCTATCTTGAGGGGGAGGCTGCTCTTTCAAACCCGACACACCTTTTCCTTCTTTCCACTGTTTCATTCTGTAGCTTTCGGTTCATTCTCAGCAGACAATATGTTTTTACCATTGAATTTTTTAGAGCATGGAATGAGGAAGGGAGGAAGGGAGGAGAGAGGGAACAAACAACAGACAGGAATGTGTCAGACATGCATGGATTTTTCCACGTCACAGGACACCACACTATAGCTGGCCATGAAACCTGCATCCAGGATGTGTTCTACACCAGGAATCCCAACAGTGAGCAGCCAAAACTCTAAAACTCTAACCAGTGAGCAACATCAGCCAGAGCCCATTCCTTCCACTTTGTTGGGGGTGTTTCTCTTTTCCTTGTCCATCTGCACCACGGAAAAGGAAACAGTTAATTTAAGAAATTAAAGAAAGAAAGAGACCAGAGGCAGCAAGAGACTCATAGAGCTGATAGCAAGGTGGACACCATTCTCTCTGATAGAGTGGCAGAGAACACTAAGCCACGCAGCAGGTTTATTTTTAGATACCAAATTAGCAGGAAGGAACACCAAAACTTGGGATCAAAGGAGCTTATTTGCATTCTTACCTAGGCCCTAGCATTCCTGGATTTACATATCTAGACCCGCCCCTACTGACACCTGCACAAACGTAAGTCAGAAACTGAATAACACCCTCCCCCCACCACGAACTCTTGGGGTGTGTGTGTGTGTGTGTGTGTGTAACCAGGGACACAGACTATGACAGTGCTTCAGGCTCAGCTGACAATTTAAAAATATCTTTTATTGATTTTTCACAGAGATGAAGGGAGAGGCATAGAGAGATAGAAACATCCATGTGAAAGAAACATCCATCAGCTGCCTCCTGCACACACCCTACTGGGTATGTGCCCACAACCAATGTACATGCCTTGACCAGAATCAAACCTGGGAATTTTCAGTCCGCAGACCGACTCTCCATCCGCTGAGCCACACCAGTTTCGCCTCAGCTAACAATTTAAAGAATGTCCATGTGCCTTCCCAGGAGGCCCTCTACAACACTTAGCACATGACAGCAAATATCCCTCTTTCCTCTAGCAAAACATAGCCGATCCATAATAACCATTCATCATGGATCTTGCTCTCTCCCCATCTCTTACTTTAGGAAATAATAAATATCCTATCCAATAAAACAGGAATATGAAAATTCAACATCAATCCTACACACAAGATGGCCACCATCATGGGGTAAAACCTGGCTGCCCCCATGTGGACACAACATGGCCACCACAACACGGCTAGCAGAGGAGAGGAGGGGAGTTGGCAAGTTAGGGGTGACCAGGCCAGCAGAAGAGGGCAGTTAGGGGTGAACAGGACAGCAGAGGAGGGCATTTAGGGGTGACTGGGACAGCAGAGGAGGGCAGTTAGGGGTGACTGGGACAGCAGAGGAGGGCAGTTAGTGGTGAACAGGACAGCAAAGGAGGGAAGTTGGGAGACACCAAGACAATAAGGAAAGGCAGTTGGAGGACCCAGGCCTGTAAGAGAGGACACTTGGATGGGGACCAGACATGCAGGGAGAGTACTTGAGGGGGAACAGGCCTGCAGGGGAGGGCAGTTAGGGGCAATTAGGACAGAAAGAAGAGCAGTTACATGTCACCAGCCCAGCAGAGGATGGTAGTTGGGGAGGACCAGGCCTACAGGGGATGGCAGTTTGGATTGGGCCCAAACAGGCAGTCACACATCCCTCAAGGAGTCTCACATTGCAGAGGGTGCAGGCTGGCCTGAGGGACACCCCTCCCCGTGCACAAATTTTGTGCAACACAAGTACAATATATATTTATTTATTTATATTTTTAAAAATGCATTTCCACAAAAAACTTGATGGTGAATCTTTTTCTCATGGTAGTAACCATGATGACCCTGCATCTGGACGTACCATCAACAAACATAGCCCACACGGTACTGGTGGCATCAGGAAAAGACACCTGTCCACCAATGGCTGCCTTGTCAATGGCGGCCTCCCCAGGACACATGCCTTCAAGAATGGCAGCCTCTACGGGCCGGACTCACAGAGGGAACACACACCTTCACCATGGAAGGGCCCCACCCAAGCCTCCCTTTGCAGGGCTGGGCCTGGAATGGGTGTCAAATCCACACCAGGGACTTCAGTCCACCCAGGGAAGAAAGGATTCTCGCCATGGACACACTCCAGGGTTTGGAGGGTTTTCTTTCTTTTGGCTTTTTGTTCATTTCTTTGTTTCTATTTCGGTACAATTATTCCTTGTATAAGCTGCAATTTCAGCAACACGGACACAACCACAAAGTGTTATTTTTGGAATGGCCACAATGATAACATGGTAACTAGGAACCAGGAACCTGGGAATGGAAACGAATGACCTCCTGGTTCATAAGTCCAAGCTCAACCACTGAACAACACCAGCCGGAGGGCATGCGGTGGCCTTAATGGTCTTCTCTGCACTCAAACCTACAAAAGACAGACAAAAGAAATGTTAGCTTGGAAGTCAGAGGTGAACTTCCCAGGCACTAGCCTAGTGACTAGAGGCTCCTGGGCCTCCAGGAGGGACTCTGTGCTTGAACCCTCACCCCCAGCCTGTGAACCTGCAGCCATGGTTGGGCAGCCCCAGGACAGAGTCCTCCCGAGACACTAATTCCTCTGCCTCCTGAAGAGCCCCCTCCCAGGCCTACTGCCACTGCCCCTCACCTGAGAGGCCGTCCCCACCCGCAGCTCTGCAACCTGGCACAGGCACCACTGTGGTTCCCTTAACAACAAAAATATCTTTTTGAAATTGATTTCAGGGCGGGAGAGGAATATAAAGAGAAACATTCAAGATGAGAATAATTAACCGGTGCCTCCTGCACAACCACACCGGAGATGGAACTTCAATCTAAGAATAGGACCCGGGACTGCCCGGTTCATAGGTCAAAGCTCAACCACTTAACCACACTGCCCGGGCACACCCATGTGTATCCACTCATTCAGCAAAGTGCTAAGAGTTTGTGACAGGTCCCAGGACGGGTACCGGGAGGGGTGAAGACTCCATGCAAAAGGCACCTCTCACGGGAAGAGGGTGGCAGCTCTGGCCGCCTGCTGAGGGCATTCCTGGGACAACGGGCCACATTGCAATCCCGTCAGAAGACTGGATAGCAGACACGCATCAGCGTGAACACACCGATGCTGATAGTTGTGCAGGAGAAGGCTCTGGTTTATAGGAAATTGCCCCTGCTATTTGGGAGAAAAAATTATAATATTTGCCGGGTCACAGGGTATCACACGGGTAATTTCAGATTGCTAGTTTTGCTTTGAGGTGGCTTAAAAAAAAAAAAAAAAAATTAAGCTACTCAATACCAAAGATGTCCACAAGGTGGCGCGATCAGCCCACAAAACTGGTTTTACCAGTAGTACCGGTTAATAATGGGGATTTTTCCCCCCCATAGATGGAGTTATTACCCTGTTTCCCCCAAAATAAGACAGTGTCTTATATTAATTTTTGCTCCCAAAGATGCGCTAGGTCTTATTTTCAGGGGATGTCTTATTTTTCCATGATGAAGAATACGGTACACATTTATTGTTAAATGAAAATAAAAGAAATTTATTACCTGTATACGGTATGGTAGTACGGTAGTTTTCAACAGAAAATTGTGATTTCCCCCCATAGATGGAGTTATTTGTAATGAACTAAAAATTCCTGCAAATGCACCTTTTTTTTTTTGCGTTAAACTTGTCATTTTTATGGGTTAAAATATCTGATGTTAGCACCTTCAGAAAATATAACATGAAATTTTGAAGATTATTTATTCAAAATAACATATCAAATCGAATATATATAAACATATGTGAACTTGGCTTTTTGTTTACTGGCATTTAAGAAAGTTTTTCTTTCTTTCTTTTTTTTTTTTTTTTTTACTATGTTATGGATCTCAGAGGGGAAGGGAGAGAGAGAGAGAGAAATACCAATGATTAGAGAAAACTATCCATAGGCTGACACCTGCACACCCCACTCTGGGGATGGAGCTCACAACCTGGCGTGTGCCCTGTCTGGGAATGGAACTACCAGCCAGGGAGGGACTGAGGGAGGGCTCCAGGGCATGTCTGGGCCATCTTGCTCAGTCCCAATTGGTGGGACACCAGTAGCAAGCTAACCTCATTTTCAGAGTGTCTGCCCTCTGGTGGTCAGTGCATATCATAGTGACTGGTCGACCAGTTGACTGTCTGCTCCCTGGTTGGTCAGTGCACACACATCTTAGCAAGTGGTTGAGTGGCCATAGCATATCATTATCATATTACGCTGATTGGTTGAATGGATGAACGGATGTCCGTATACCTAGCATATTAGGCTTTTATTATGTAGTATTATATAGGATGTGGGATATATTTCTCCTCCTTCATTTTGTGCTGTTCCACTTTCTTCTGATCATTTGTGTGTGTGTGTGTGTGTGTGTGTGTGTGTGTGTGTGTGTGCCTGTGAGAATAAGGAGAGAAGGGAGAGGTCAGAGATTTTTAGAAATGGATTTGTGCCCTTTTCTGTTTTTTTCATTATGACTTAAAAGCACAAATGAAAAATCTTCAGGGAGACAATGGTATCTAATGAGGTGATGACTCCAGGAATGCTTGGCCTCCTTCAAGTCACAACAGGCAGAAAGTTACCTGACTTAAATGGTCACAAGCAACACAGTTAATGCTGATGCCTACGTCGAAATTCAGATGTTGAGAACCCATAGCCCTAAATGAAAATTTACTCACACTCTGTCTCATGTTTCTCAGCATTGTGCCTAGACGAGGAACATCATGGGAAATGGAAATAGGCATCCTAAGATGAACAATAATACCACTTGAAGGGGGATATACAAATTATCAGACGAAGGCTGGGAAATTCAGGAATATAATCTCTTAAGATATTTATTGTAATCTCCAAAAATTAAAACAAGATAAATCCAAAGAACCAAAACCACTTTCTATACAGAATTCACATACAAATTTAATACCTAATAGAGCACATACCATTCTGACACAATTTCAGTAAAGAGAACTAAAACTTTACAATGTGGATACACTTTATAGCTTTGAACCAGACAGGAGCCCTGTGGACAGGTGGGGGAGGCTGTGTTCTGAGTTGCAGTTTTGAACCAAACACCACACCCACTGGAGGGAAGCACAGAGCTGTTGCTAATACTTGCTCAGGACACCCTCCACGGTGCCCCAAGGAGCCGGCACCATCACAGAGGGAGCTTGTCTGTCACCCCAGGACTCTGGCACAGAGAGCACAGGCACATTCTGGGGGCCACGGCGCCCTCTGCAGGTGATGGTGGAAGGAAGAACCCTTGGTGCCTGGGAACAATGTCAATGCTACTAACATGGCTTCAGGACGATGCGTATTCTGTGGCCAAGTCTGGGGCTGCGCAGCACAGAGCGCGACGGTGCTGCAGCCTGTCTTCCTTGTGGGACAGAAAGAGGCAAACGGGGAGGGGGGGGGGTGAGGAATTAATGGGCACATTTGGCTGCGAGAACAATGACTTACAGCTGCCAGCTGTCCTCTTTCTGTTCATGAAGAACAGCCGTCCCTGTCCTGCTACGTGCTGGGCACAATCTACTTGGGTCAGATTCTCCTGGGGCCACCTCTGACATCATGGAGTCATTCCCTCCATCAGGCAGGCCCCATTGCCTGTGCCCTCACTCCTGCCCTAACTTCACGTTTAGATAGCATCCTGTCCACTACCCGCCGCCTCCAGTCACCACACTGAGTGCTGGGCACATGGGCCTCGGCAGCTGTGCGATGACGGAATGAACATTAAAACACTCTTATGATGATTCTGATGGCTGCCAGCTGGCATTTTTCTTCCCTTAATTTGGTACAGAGCCATCACTAACCACCAACTTCCTCAGTTGGTTTGAGAGCTGAGTAAGAGTTTCTGGCTACCCCAGGTAAGCCAGGCTCACATTCCAGTGGGCACCCAGAGCCATCGGACATGACTGGCAGGTCCTCACGGGCGATGGCCCAGCAGAGGAAGGAACGGAGGCCATGCAGGAGGTGCCGATGGCCACACCGTCAAGACACCGCTTTTCGTCCTTCTGAGTGAATGAGTCCTCTGTTGGAGGTGTTGTGATGTCCTTTGCTAACTGAGGAGGCAAAGCAAGACCTTAAGATGAATCTGTGCCTAAAAACTGGGATGGCAGAGAGGAGTTCAAGGTTGTTGCCCCACGTTAAACATCACATACATAAACAGTCGGAGTGTTCAGAACCAGCCACTAGGCCTGTCGCTGGACTTTGCATCGCAGGGAGCTCCAGGCCACAGCTGCGGGGCTGACAGATCTCAGGGTGCATGTGAGGCTTTGCGACACCAAAGTGATGTGGGAACCTGGCTTTTCTATCTCCATATCCCTGGTGCAGACAATTGAGAACTGAACGTAATGTATCATTAGCTACAACCTAAAAAGACACGACTATTTTGGGATTCCCAGGGTTGACAGTGTTAAATTTGCAAACAAAATACAATATTCAGTTACAATAACTGTACATCCAAATACAAGAGTGAAAATTCTTAGTAGACAGAACATGTGATCAACATTTCTGAGAATAAAAATGACTTTTCTTATGTGCATGTATTTCCTTAGGTAGCTAAATTGGCCTCTTAAGGCTAACGGGGAATTCTGAATTAACAAGAAAATTGCTATATAAACTAACAACCATTCTGTCTTAAAAACTAAACCCACAATTCTAAAAGGCAAAATGGACATATTTTTGCAGGTACTAAACGTTTGGTCTCATAGGAAATAAAGAAGTTTGAGGTAGCACAGAGGAGAGTCACACAACACGATAAGGTACTGACTGTAAAAAGCACACGCTAGACAAGCTATTGGAGAGCATTTGAGTAGGTCACACACCACCCACAGCACTTTGCACATTCATTATAGTTCACTTTCACTCATTTATATACACTGAATAAGTCATTAAATATTGCACTTATTGGCCCATGAACCCTCAATTCTGAGGTGTTGAAAATAGGAAAAAAAAATCTATTTTTGTAACATATTTCATGCAACATTTAAGACATTTCAGTTCCAAAAACACCATTAATAGTTGTACATGTGAACAGTTCAACGGTGTCACATCACATCTGACATTAAGGACATATTCACAGGAACACAAAGACCTTCCATCAGCACATGTCCTAGGGGTGATGGGACGACGCGCGGAAAATCACCCAATGGTGCAGAGACCCCCTTCGCTGTGAAGAGGCGCAGGGAACCCCTGGACGGACAAAGGCCACGCTCACCTCCCTGGAAGGCCAGGGCTTGCAGCTCACACACCGGGTGCCAGGAGGAGTGCAGCCATGAGCCACAGCGACCCCTGGCCACCAAAAACACGGATGTGGAAAATGTTCATTAAGAAATAAAGTCACAGCCAACTCTCAATTGTCCACAGTGAAGGGAAGTATGAACTCTGGCAAATGAAATACAAGGTAAAGCCCCACCTCACTTCAGCAAGTGACGCCCGGGGACGCTGCAGGGCAGTGTAGAGGAGAGGGGAGAATGCGGACATCCCCGCCAACTTGGCCATGCGGTCCTGCGAGGCAGCGCGTTAACACATGCAGCAACGTACACCCAGCGGGAGAGGAGAGAGCTGTACACAGAAAGCTTGATTTACCCACCAGACAGATGGTCTGGTCTCACTGCCTGAGCTCTAACATAGTTTCAGAAAGAATGCATTTTGTCTAGAATGTTTGCAAAATGGGTTTTCACTATATCCTCTTTTTATTGGGAATCAATTGTGTGCACAGACACCCAAATCAGTGTGAGAATCTGTTTTAGAGACCTTTAAACAGTTGTGAGTGACAGCTGGAGTGTAGCAAAAGCTCCCTTTTTTCTAGCACTGAGCAAGCGCAGAATACAGGCATCTCCCTTCGTGAAGTGTGTGTGCACGCGTCTCTGCATGTGTGTCTGTGTGTGTGCATATACCCATGTGTGTGCACATGGGAACACTGAGTTTGTGGCTCAAGTGAAAACAGTTTCACCTACCAAAAAGGGAAATAGTATTTGACTGGAGTGTCAAGCATTTCTATAGACTTGAGAGAAAACGACATTGATGAGACACCATCAAGAATGGGTAAATTTGTCCTCATTACACTCTTCAGACCTAGCTCTGCCCTCGGGGGAGGCTATTCTTGTGGCCTCTGGAGTCTTGGGTGTCTGCAGGGATACTGATGGTTTTCTCTGGTCATAAACTTCATCTTTTACTCAACTTGTTTCACTTCGTTCCAAAACATAAAGCAGGTGCATGTCTTTGACTGGCTTTGGTCAAAATTCACCTAAAATAGAAAGAACTCTAACAAGCTGACCCTAATGGTCAGCTCAGCAGCAAGACTCCACGCTGTCCGGTGAGCTGTGGGGTGCAGCCGCTGTGCACAGCGGGGGAGGGGGGGGAGGCGAGGCTGCCACATGGTGGGGCTGTGCCTTCCGGGGCCACGGGAAAGGCCCCGAGCACCCTGGCAGAGCACAGGGAGGTCCTGGAACCACACATGCAAACTTACGTGGGAGGATTCTCCAGACACAGGCCGCTCCCCAACCCCCAGTGGAGCCTCTCGATAAGATGAAAACTAAATAAACACTTTGTCTGGAAGGGCTTTCAATCATGACTTCAAAGTTATCTCTTTTCCACATGCAGCTGCTCCCTCCACCCTGAGACAGCCTGGCAGCGCTGGACACATTTCTAATGGAGTTCCAGGGCCCGCAGGCTGGCACCAGGCAGCAGAGGGACGCATGGGGACCCTAAAGAGGAACCTAGAGACTCTGAGAGGTCAGTGAGGCAGAGGAGCTACTGGCGGAGCAGCAGCATGAGCTCCTCCTGTCCCAAGTGGTCCTTCTCAGTCACCTCAGGGGTCATGGGGGGACGCCGGGGACTTCCCATTTAGGACTTAAACTGCAGCACCTCACACCCCCCCATTCCCCCAGAGGCTGAAATGTGGATCCACTCCATGGATGCCTATCTAATGAAACCACCCCAGCCCCATGTTTCCATCTCCTTAGGAGCCAAGGAAACATCCCCAAACCAGAGTGCTCGGCAGTACTTACTCAGATCAATCAAGGTTTGTCTCTGAAAGTAATGGCGGGCGGTGGGGGGATAGATGTCCAGAGGAAGAAAAATCCGGTTGAAACACTAATTGAACAGCATCAAGGACCACGATGCATGTCTGGTATCCACAAGTAATGGGGGTAGGGTGCGTTATGGGGGTAGTGTGTGCTATGGGGGTAGTGTGTGCGTTATGGGGGTAGTGTGTGCTATGGGGGTAGTGTGTGCTATGGGGGTAGTGTGTGCGTTATGGGGGTAGTGTGTGCTATGGGGGTAGTGTGTGCTATGGGGGTAGTGTGTGTTATGGGGGTAGTGTGCATTATGGGAGTAGTGTATGTTATGGGGGTAGTGTGTGTTATGGGGGTAGTATGTGCTGTGGGGGTAGTGTGTGTTGTGGGGGTAGTGTGTGTTATGGGGGTAGTATGTGCTGTGGGGGTAGTGTGTGTTATGGGGGTAGTGTGCGTTATGGGGGTAGTATGTGCTGTGGGGGTAGTGTGTGTTGTGGGGGTAGTGTGTGTTATGGGGGTAGTATGTGCTGTGGGGGTAGTGTGTGTTGTGGGGGTAGTGTGTGTTATGGGGGTAGTGTGTGTTATGGGGGTAGTGTGCATTATGGGAGTAGTGTATGTTATGGGGGTAGTGTGTGTTGTGGGGGTAGTGTGTGTTGTGGGGGTAGTGTGCGTTATGGGGGTAGTGTGTGTTATGGGGGTAGTGTGCATTATGGGAGTAGTGTATGTTATGGGGGTAGTGTGTGTTATGGGGGTAGTATGTGCTGTGGGGGTAGTGTGTGTTGTGGGGGTAGTATGTGATGTGGGGGTAGTGTGTGCTATGGGGGTAGTATGTGCTGTGGGGGTAGTGTGTGTTGTGGGGGTAGTATGTGATGTGGGGGTAGTGTGTGTTATGGGGGTACTGTGCTATGGGGGTAGTGTGTGCTATGGGGGTAGTGTGTGCTATGGGGATAGTGTGTGTTATGGGGGTAGTGTGTGTTATGGGGGGCTAGCTAGTTAAGTGATGAGGGAGCTCATTCTACAGCTACTTACACCCTTGCTGTCAGCACTCCTGTTGCACAGCCTTCAATGGAATCCTTCCGGTCAGCCAGCACCCTCCAATGCCCAGTGTGTCGGGAAGCATCAGTGGAAAGAGCAGTCCTGGTGGCTGCCCTGCATTTAAACGTCTAAGCCACGATCAGTCTAGATCAGTTTTAGCAGGTATCTTAGGAATCTTGCAAGGGCCTTAAACGATATTTCAATTTCTTTATAGATGGTGGTATCCCAGTTATTCATAACTAGACACGTTTCTTACACAGTCACCTGTCCTGAAAACGGCGATTTACTCAGAAAGCATGAGTCCGATGCCTGCTTGATTTTGAATTAAGAGTAAAGCAAACAAGGTATCCTGAGATCTCCCGTCTCCCCTCCCAACACAGCAACGCCTTGTTACCATCCTCTCCAGGAACCAGGGAATTCGAACCCAAAGTCAGCAGAAGTGAATGTACAGCCTGAGGTCCCAGCAGTAGCCTAGCGAGAAGAAATCTGAAACATAAAGACCCTAGAAGACAAAGAACAGATCACATGCAAATACCAGGTGTGTGGGTGGAGTCTCGTGGATTTACGATCACGTATTTGCCCATTTGCACTCAGGGAACTGCCCAAGCATTCAGTGCATGGAACAGTCTTTGACACACAGCTCTCCCTGTCTCTGAGGCGGTGAGTGCAGGCTGCCGGCATTCCGCAGATGCTGCTGGGTCGGAGGGATTAGCAGCCACAGCCGGGCTGCGGCGGGGGAGGCGTCTCCTGCAGCCTCGCGCTCTGCTTCGCGGCGGTGGCGGCCTGATCCGTGTCCAGACTCTCAGACATCTTGTCGCAGATGACATCCACCAGGCGCTCGAATGTCTGCTTCACGTTAATGTTGTCCTTGGCGCTGGTTTCAAAGAACTCGAACCCTGCAGAGACACAGGAAGCAGAGCCGGTCATTCTGCCAGACGGACCAGACTGGGGTGGGTTAGAACGTGACGGTAGGACAGGCGGTGGGGTCTGGTGGGGAAACGTGTGCTGCCCTTTCCACAAACCCTGGGCTCGGGGATGCTCAGGCGCTTTTTCTCAAGGATCCTCCTGTGCTCCCAGCGAGGTTGCACAGCCGGAAGGAGCCCTCGCCGGGGTCAGGAGCCGACACTCAGGATCCTTGACACAGAATTTGTCTCTCCTTCCTTTCCCAGCCCTGGCCACCGTGGAACCTTGTGAAATCTTTCCTAGGACTGATGTTATTTTGCGTTTTCTTCCTTCCAAAGAAGATTCTACCAAAATAATTAATTTTCATAGTTATTCCATTAATTTGAAGCTTAGATTCCTGAGCAGAGTCTACTGTACCTAGTAGAGGGTCGGAGGGGGGGCTTGGTGAGTGTCCAGGATCTGAACGGCCACCAGGGGCGCTACCGTGTCCTTGATTTCCTCAGAGCTGTGCCTCCTGCAGGAAATGCCTGAGTGGGATTAGCAGACCAGCCTTCCAGGGCTTTGCCCAGCTTGTGTCTCTTGGTGGTAACATTCTCAAAGCTCTGTCATCTATCGGCAGAAATGCTCTCACAACATCTAGGGAAGGACCCTGAGAAATTTCAAATGAGCAGCTAGAATGTCAAGTATAAAAACGCAGGGACGGTTTCACACTTTGGACGTGGGGAAGCACCTGGGCCCAGGCAGCTTGGCATGATGCTCCCCAATCAATCTAATCTCTCCACTCACACCCGCCCCTCCTCCAGGTGTGCCAATCAGTGCCCATGATTGCTCTGGTCACTTGGGGACATTGATTAAGGGTGCAATGGGTTGAACACAGAAATACTTCCCTAATCTAGTCTGCATTTACACCCTGTAAGTTCTCTATTACATCTGGCCCCAACTCAGAGGAGCCACAGGTTCAGAATGATTAAATCCGTGATTTCACCCCAGCTCCTGGGGCCAAGGGCAAAGAAGGGACTAATATTCTGCATCCATGTCAAAATCCCTCTGGCAGTTCTTCAATAGCCCTGAAGGGTAGAGCACAAACAGCCATTCTCATGTGTTGGGATGAGACTTGGTGGTGATACGTATAGACAGATGGCTCATCTGAGCTTGAACCACACTGGCTACTCTGAGTCCATGACTAAAGTCTATGTGACTGGTGGCAGGACTTGAGCTGAAGGACCTCGAGTAGAGCAGGGTCAGTGAGACAGGGACGGACACTTCAAACCCTCTTTGGCTGGTGTTTCTCTTACATTCTGCGCTTCTTTACAGAACGAGTGGAGAGTTCTCTTCTGTCTGTGCAGCCCACAGGCCTGCATGGTCTGGATTTCAAAGGGCAGTGTAGACCCAAGAACCACCCCTGGGTGGACTGGCCTTCGGGGGTTCCCAGTGCTCATGGGGCTGCTTCCTGTCTCAGACGCCAGGACCCACCCAGGAAGCTAGAGCACCGGCCTGAGACTGGAGACAACCATCTCTCAGTTCAGCACATGGTCTCGGCTGCTGGTTCCAGCCTCTCGTCTCTCTGCCCACACATCCCTTCTTAGTGGCATGACTCCGGAGGCACTGACCCGGTGGCATCCAAAGGATTTGGCCATCAGGACAGCCCGGAACCGCAGTCTGAGTCCAATGTGCCTGCTTTTCTCTGCTGCAGGTGCATGCTTTGAGGTCATAGTGCTCTCGTGCCCTGACCTAATGAAGATGATTGGATTTGACACTAGCATTAAATGCAACAAAAGCAAGAACAAAACCAACAAAATCTAAACAGTAATAACAACAAAACAAGTGGGACTACATCAAACTAAAAAGCTTCTGCACAGCAAGAGAAATTATAAAATGAAAAAGCAATCTACTGAACGGGGGCAAATATTTCCAAATATATCTGATAAGGGTTTAATATTCAAAATATGTAGAGTGCATACAACTCAATAGCAAAAAATCCAATTAAAAACGGACAGGGAATCTGAACATATGTTTTCAAAAAGGACGCACAGTAGGCCCAGGAAAGATGCTCAACAAAAAGGTCACAGGGAAATGCAGTCAAACCCGAGGAGATGCTGCCTCAGGGGACGGGCAGTGCGCACCACGTCACCGACGAGGAGGAAGACTTGCGAGGATGTGGGGGAAGGGCGCCCGTGCAGAGCCTGTTTTCACAGAGTAAGAACGGGGCCCTAGACTGGGTCACAGTTGGGTGGCCCCGTTTGCTTCTGTGAGGGGCTTGCACTCTCATGATGCCCGAGTGTGGGGGGACCCACTTGCCCTGAAGGGTGTGTGGGTCCCCACGGCCGGGCTGACCGACTCCCCCAGCCCATCACCCCACGCAGCTGGCCTCGGGGACTGCCAGCTCCTCTCCTCATCGGTGCCGCTTACCAAGCTGTTCTCCCAATCGCCGGCCCCTCTCCACCGAGATGACACGCTCGTCCTCCATGTCACACTTGTTCCCCACCAGGATCACCTGCGCATTATCCCAAGAGTAGGTTTTAATTTGAGTTGACCTAAAGGAAAAAGAACAGGCAAAAAAGTGATCAGAAGAAAGTGGGACAGCACAAATGGAGGGAAATAAATCTCACCCCTGCTGATAACAGCCCAAATTTAATACCAGAATGAAATAGTATAATGTTACCCATCAGCACTTATCGGGAATAACAAGTCAGAAATGAAGGACCAGCCCGGCCGGCATGGCTCCATGGTTGCGTGCCAATCTAGGAACCAGGAGGTCAGGGTTTGATTCCTGGTCAGGGCACACACCTTGGTTGCGGGTTCGATCCCCAGTGTGGGGTGTGCAGGAGGCAGCCGATCCATGATTCTCTCTCATCACTGATATTTCTATTTCTCTCACTCCCTTCCTCTCTGAAATCAATAAAAAATGTGTTTTTAAAAATCAAAGTACAAAGGCCTGCGTGAAGGATTCTTCTGCATTTGATGAACTGATATTATGACTATTCCTTCCTGTTCCCGCATCCCCCTTCACAGCTGAGTGCACTCTGGCCCAGTCTGCCCAGATAGCCTCTGTTTTAGGAAAAAAAAGTCCCGTTTTCTGAGAAACCACTCAGTTCCAAGAAATCTATCACACAGAAGCCTAATTTCCCTTGTTACCGTGACAACTGAATAACCTGTCAACTGGGCTAGGAATTGTGAGGTAATGGTAATTTTTAAAATGAACTATAAGAACTAGTAGTCATTTTTAAGAGAAAAACGACAGGTTGATCAATATCAAAGCTACAGTACAATGGGCTGGTGCTTTAATTTACTATATATGGGAAACCTAGGATTCAGAATAAATTTCCATGTGACCAACTCTTGATTTTAACTTAGATAATAATTACCAAAAGGCCATATTTGCAGGTGCTATTCTAACCAGTTTGCATTTGTTTCGTTAATTAATCCTAGAGCCGCGCCGGGTCACTGTTCCACCCGCACTGCACACTGAGGCAGTGAGCCAGGCGGGTGAACCATTTGCACATCCGGAAACAGAGCGGCAGTCGCAGCCTCAGACGACCCCCCGCCCTCCAGCACCGCTTGTCACAGGCAGGCAGGGGGTTGCTTCAGGGCCTCAGGTGTCACGGGGAAGCCGAGAGGAGCAGGTCTTCATCTCCCTTTGTGAGGGCGACAACCTTGTCAAGGACCAGGCTCAGGTGGGAGACGTCCCTTGCACTGAGTGGTCAGGAGAGAGGGGACACGTCGAAAGCAAAACACCTGACGAAAGTTCCCAGGAAAATACCTGCAAAGCGTGAAGAAGGGGAGCTTGGGTGTGTCCTTACCAGCAAGTTCCAGATCCTTCTGGATTATTAAATGGAAAACAGCCATGAGCTCCTTCAGAAAGCCAACTGCTCTGTCGTGGAGGGAGGTGCCCAGAAGGATGTGTGAGGGGCGGGCAGGGTTAGCCCAGGGCACTGGATGCAGCGAGCTTCCAGAGGAGATGAAACCATCTAGTGAATGTGATCTTAGCTCCACCTCGGAGGCACCCGGTTTTCTCAGAAAAATCCGGGGACGTGAGCTTCCTAATTCTGGTGCCTGAGTGAACGTTCCCCTTAACGACAGCGAGACAGGGCACACGCCCCTCCACCAGGAGCAGAGGCAGCGCTCTGTGCCGTGCGGATCCGGGAACCGGTGGGTCCCGGTGAACTACGCTGTGACTGACCCTGCACATGGGAGACCTGGGCCCGCGGGCTCACAGCGTGTTCCACAGAAACCCCACGTGCCTCCAGGGGCTCAAACAGAGCGGTGCCTCGGGGTGCGTAGGTCGCCCCCTGCTCCCTCGGTCTTCGGAGCCACGCCTGGCCTGGTGCGGGGAGGCCTGGGCATCCCCGAGCTCCCAGAGAAGGTTCCCTCAGGCCACAGCAGGGGCCACCGCCAGAGGGGGCAGTCGGCCTGTGTGAGGGGTGGCCGAGGTCAGGGACAGGCTTTCCCGGCTGGAGGACCAGTGCCTGTGCCATTGGCCTCCTCTGACCTCGGCAAGCCCACCCTATGCCCGGGATGCCAACACCTCTCACCAGGTTCATGGGGTGCCCACTTCTGCCAGAGACCTCAGCGCCTCGGGCCCGGGCTCCTGGGAGGAATGCCCAGCGTGCACACATCCCCCTCCCTCGCCCCCGGGAAGGGAGTGAAGATGTGCTGGGCCCGTGAGGAAGAAAACCAACATGCAGCAACGAGACGTCAGCCTGTTCCCCAGCCTCGGCCTCACCAGCGAGGCCCCACCAGCCGGGCTGCGGTGGGCGGGGCGAGCTCAGGAGGTCACCCGACTTCCTGACTCCCAGCATCTCTTCACAACAGTCTCAGTCCCAGGTGAGGCCGTTCTTCCTCCCAAACCCAGCTCAACGCACCCGACCCCATCGGCTAAACGACAATGTGCTTTCCCCTCGAGAAGCTCCACTGTTGTCCTCGTTCTTATCGGACTGAGGTCCTCCCTGGGCGCCTGTCGAGATGGGAGCGAGTCCTGGCCTGCGTGTTTCCACGTGTTCCCTGTTTGGATCAAAATGACCCTGCATGGGGGAAGCTTTCAATCCCCTCCGTAGGGACCACCTCACTTCTTTGTTGGACACGGACACACGTGGATAGAAGGTGGCTGCCACCACTTAATGTGCGTGTAGAACGATAATTTATTTCCCAGTCACAAATGCAGCTCCTTTGGGATTCACTTTAAACTCAGCGAGATTAATGGGATCAGAAGCAAGATGCCGGTCACCATGGTTACTCAGCAAATAGCAATTAAGCCAGATCCTACCAGGTCCTCTCAGTCATTAAAAATCTGTTGTCATTTAGAGAAACACAAAACCAAAATAATCCCCTCCAAGTTTACATATTTCCTACGTTTTGTATTTTTTTCTTTCTCTCTAAACATACAAACAAACACACACACACACAGGATTTTTGCTGAGTTGGGTTTGTTTCCTGTCACGAGGCAGCAGGGGAGGAGTTTTCATGTTTGATGCAGAGACGACCGCCCTCGGCACAGGTCACGGTGACTAAGTCCATTCCTCCTCCCGTGCTGGCAGCATCACTCCGCGAGCCCAGCCTGTGCCTGAGCGCGGCCAGCTGCTCACGAGGCCCAGCTCAGTGCCCACGTGGGCCTCGTGGCCAAGAACTGCTGGCCCCTGCGCCTCGAATGGGCCGCGTGAGGGACACCGGGAGCTGGGAACAGGCCTCTGCCGACTGGCCCTGCTGGGAGCTGGCTGTCCGCACGGCCCCCTCTCTGGCTCTCCCTGCACCTCGCTCGCTGCTCACTGCTCCACGGACTCCAGATTCCTGAGGGAGTGTCCCAGCCTCCTGCTGCTCCCCACACAGGACTGACTGGCCCCTCAAGTTATGTTTTCAATCATCCAATCAGTTACTTATTCCATGTTTCTTAGCTCTTAGAGAGCTCTGAACAGTGCCTGCCACTGAGAACATCCCCTCAGAGCCTCCGGGACCTGGTCCCAGGAGTGGGAATAGCCCCGTGCGGTCTGCCTCTCCCCTGGCTGGGACCCGGCACCTCTGCCCTTTCCGGTGGCACGGCCCAGCCTCACCCGGAGGAAGGAGTCCGGCCTCAAGAGGCAGCTGGCTGGCGGCAGGTCCTGTCCTTGCTGCTGGGCCCAGGCCTAGGCCCCGAGCCCAAGTCCCGCTAGCCCTGTTGCACACGCTGCGTCTACACCTGGGCCATGGGATTTCTCGATCAATGGGGAGACGACGTAGCCCCGAGATCCGTCCAAAGTAAAAACACACTCGGCCGAGTAGTCCGTCTTCATGGCTATTTGTACAGCTGGGTCATAAAGACCATCTGCCAAACCTGAACATGCAAACGGCCGGCAGCTCCATGAGATACACCTCCCCGAGGGTTAAGATGAACACGTGAGAGTCCAGTTCGGTCCGATTAGACTAGAATATGTGACTCTAGTTTGGTCCAATGAGACTAGAACAGCCAGGTTAGAACTCTCGTCGCCCCAAGCCGGTCTGGTCAGGACCCCCGGGCGATGGTTCTGGTCCTGGTCCGGGCACTGGGCAGCGATTTGGATGTCAGGCACTGCTGGGGTCCCACAGTGGAGACCTGCCGCCCGGCCTCTCCTTCTGGCTTAAGGAAACTTTCCCTAAAATAAGCTGTTTTATCCAGCTGCATACATTAAGTCAGTGTTGGAACTTATCAAACCATAAGCTGATGGGCTATAAAATTCTGTGCTCTAGCAATTTAGTCAGTGTTGGAACTTATCAAACCATAAGCTGATGGGCTATAAAATTCTGTGCTCTAGCAATTTAGAGAGGACTCAACTCTGGATATAAACTGTGAAGACAGAGAGTTACATAAATTACCATATTAATATACGTCTTTAAAGTTAGCAGTTTATGAAGTAGGGAAAGATAAGAAAATAATTCCAATTTCAGCAGAGCACTGATTTTTCACGTTGCTTAATTATATGATATGCAATCAGGAGTGCTGGGCTGTCCTTCACTCCTGAACAGGTAACAAATCTATCAAAGATAATGAAATATGGTAACAACCATACTTGGGTACAAACTGCTGTTTGAATTTTAACCCTGCTGTTACAGGGTAGTTATGTCAGCTTCCAGGTGGAGACCTGAAGGCTAAGGCAATTTTCCTGTGCCTGGGACCATAAATACAGGAGATTGATTCCCACTGACTCAGTAGCTTCAAGGGTAGAAACTATAGATAACCTTTAGAGATTAACCTCTGAGTTCTGCTTCTGTATTATCATCAAGATAGGGCCACATTCCAATGTTCCCAGCCTTTACAATTTAGAACAAAGGAAAATTCTTGTGGTTTGGACCTTTAAAAAGACTGCCTACACCTGGAACAGTGCAGTCGTGTGGACTCAACCTGCATGTGGTGCTCTCACGGCCATCCTGGCCAGTTTTTCAATAAATCCTTGCCTGCTTTTTTTAATCAATCATCAGCCTCCGATGGTCTTATTTTGAATCCAGGATTCGACCCCACAACAATGCCACATTCAGGACCAAGCCCAGAGCAACTCAGGGTTGCAGGCTGAGGGTAGGTGTTGGATGAGAGGTGGGATTAGGGATGGAACCAGAGATATAAATATTTGTTCTATGACTTGCTCATAAAAAAGGAGTATTCTGACACTCTGACATCTGCATCTGAGGGGCTGTCTCCCCAGGACCCTGTCACACCACCCTCGTCTCTATGGTTCACCTCAGGAGTGAGGAAGCTGGTTTTAAGGTGTGGACGCCAACAGGTGTGGTCATGGTGGGCATGGCCGGGGCGGGTGAGCACCACTCGGGTATAAGCCTTTAGGAACGTTTTCTACAAAGTGCTCTTCACAGAAATGCAATACAATACTGTACTCTGTTCTCCGAAACTACTGAAACCCAATGCATCATTTTTAGCACCTAGTTTTCTGTGTTTTGTAATGTGCACTCTAGATTGGCACAATAGTATGTGCTCATTATTTATAAATAAATAAAGGAATGCTTTATAATGAAGAATCTGGTCAGTCTTCGTCCCCGTTCCCAGCAGGTAACCTCTGAAGCCAAAATGAATGGAGGGTCTGTTATTCCTGATAGCTCTCTAAAGCACTCCTGAAGGTTTATGCTAATGACATGACCCACCTGATAGTTAATGCTAACGAGATGACTCACCCGATAGTAAACTTTATGCTAATGATATCGGAATTGGGGAGGGATGGTCATGCCAGGAAGACCAACTGTGTGACCAGACTGTTGGCACTCTGAGTCCGTGACCCCAGGCTGCCTTCTCAGGAGGGGGCCAGCCTGTGGCAATGGTGCAACCGGTCACCCTCCGCAGTGAAGCCCCATGGAAGTTGGGCATCAGACCTGGGGGAACCCCCTGGTTGGCAACGTCTCCCTGAGGATGGCTGGGCCCCCACCCGGACCCTCCCAATCTCACCGTCACCATCGCTCCCTTTGGCTGGTTCTGAGTCATATCCTTTTGTTATAATAAAACAAACCACAATGGTAAGGACAGCACTTTCCTGAATTCTGTAAGTCATCCTAGTGATGATCAAATCTAAAGTGTTCATGGGAAACCCTGAAGGTATAGCTAGGGGATCAGGAGTGAGGAGGCCCTGGGACCCCCCATGTAAAACTAGTGTCTGAAGTGAGGGGTCAGGCCAACCTTTGGAGGACCGTGCCCTTCGCCTCCTTTGTGACTACTCACATCTCATAGTTGCTATGAGGATTGAAAACGTGTGGGAACCACCGAGCTAACCACTCAGGCCCTGCAACCTCTCTTCCCTCACTGGCACCCCCTGGTGGTTGCTTTGGAAAAGAAAAGTATCCTAAAAATCTGTGATATTTACAGATCAAAATTAGGTCATAGGGCACAATACACTACGGGAGCAGCAGGAACCGTGGCACTGTGGGGCTGCATGGAGTGCGTGACTCGTGCTCCGGGAAACGGTGGCACAGGAAGGCACAGCCAAGTGGCAACAGCACAGTTTTGTCTGAATCTAACGGAGTCCCACACTGTGCGCCATGACCATCTTCTCTGGCAACAAGAGAGGATCCTCCTGTGACAAATGTGCTATTTTCTAATTTCCTCTTTTGAATAGTTCCTTTTAATGTCTATTTATTTATGTGTGTGTGGGGGTGCAGGGTGTGGTTTACGACTGGACACAGGATAAATACCTTAACGGACGGAACTGCAAAGGTGCTGTCCCACCCGCAGTCGGAGCCCCACCAGGGCCAGGGCCCACGCTGGGCGGGCGTTGTCAGGTGAGAAACACGAGAGCAGGCTGGGACTGCACATGTAGACCTGTGACGCGGCCTCTCTGCTCACTCCCCAGGGCGGCTGCAGAGCGCACCCCCTCGCTGCCGGCCTGGGTGTTAGAAGGTGGGCCCAGCGTCCGTGCGGGGAATGAGCGCGCTCGCTGCGGGGCAGCAGCCTGGACGGAGATCCTGTGCACGGGGCCTGAACGGCCTGTGAGGGTCCAGGAAGCCCAGTGAGCGGCCCGTTCAAAGCCCAGGCTGTTCTCTGAGCTGGATCCTCCTCTCCCAGGGTCGCCGGAGGCAGCGGATCACCCAGGGCTGAGCACGCGCTCTCTTCACAGGGAGCATCAGCAATGTCCCTCAGATGGACCCCCCAAAGACAGGCAGCTGACTTAACAGGGAAGAAGGTCTATCGAAACAGAGACACCCCAGGGGAGCCTGGGAGAAAATGCCTATATCTGCAATAAATACTGTGACGCAAACCACACAGATGAGTCTGTTCCAGAGAGCAGAACGAGCAGCACCGTGTGAAGGAAATACTTTCACCTGAGAGTCCAGGTCTACCTCTGACCTTCACATTCCCCACGGCCACCTGAGGGCGGGCAGAGCCACGGGACATACTCCCTGCCCTCGCTTCCCACCTTCAGAGCTCAGCCAGGCAGGAGGCTCCTGTCCGCAGCTCCCCTCAGACAGTCTGCATGTTAACCCTAACGCCCACTTCATGCTGTCTCCACACCAAGAGCTAGCTTCTGGAAAAGTCTCCGCACCTGAGCTCACACGGGGAAGAGACCGTGCAGGGCACGCGATGTGCTTGGGGTTTAATGTCAGTGTCTGAAAGGAGGCACGTGCCTTCTAAGTACAAAGGCATGTGCAGCTTGGACTGTCTATACAAGGAGCGTGGGCCACCCCCGTCAGAGCAGCCAGCATGGCTCAGCGGTTAGAAACTAGAAAAGAGCACCCAGACACAAAGATGTCGCTGGGGCAATTCCTGGTTGGGCAAAGCCTGGATTCCGCGCTCTATCCCGCTGGAGGCTGTGCAGGAGGCAGCCAATCAATGTTTCTCTCTCAACAATGTTTCTGTCTCCCTCTTCCTTAAAAAAAGAAAAAAGAAAAAAAGAAATGTCACCGCTCAGATCTGGGAGGGAAAACTTGGGGTCATCCCGTCACTGCCCCTTGGAGCTGCAGCGGACCCAGGTGGGAGCTGAGAGGACCTTTGACCTTGACTGAAGTCAGGAAACACTGAGCAAATGCCCACCCCCCTCAGCAGTCCTCAGACTAACGTCCTTTCCTGTCTAATGGAAACACCTGCGTTTCAGTGTGTTATTTGCTCTTGGAGGAAAAGGGGAGAGAAGCTGAAGGTTGCATGTTTGAAGGTGAAGTTCTTCCTGGTTAAGGTGCTCAGAACGGCCCAGAGTGAGTTATTAAAACAAAGGGAAGATGGGTCAGGCTTCTACCCTTGGTCTGGTGGTTTCTAAAAAACATCAATCTGCCCACCAGGTTTTCTGCCTTAAAACAGCCATCCTATCAACAGCTCTGCATCGAGCCATAAAGCTGGCCTGTAGATGGCTAAGGTGGGCATCATCCAGCAACAGTCTCAGCAGCCAAGATGGCCTCGCTCTTAGGACGGGAGCTCGGGAGCTTGGGCCAGCGGGCTGAGGCAGGTGGAAGTGCTTCGGTGCGGGAGACCCCGAGTCCTAGAGGGGACAAGCTGAGCCCCAGTGGGGAGACTCCGAGTCCTGGTGGGTGAGAGGCACCGCGGATACGGGACTTGAGGCGCTGACCCCGGCCTGGCCCACTCGTGGAAATGAACTCAGGGACCTTCTGAGTCCCCAAAGCTGGAGCTAAACTGGCTCTTCCGCAGAGGACCCACCCGTCAGCCCTGAGGACTGGACTCAGGGGAGGGGCCACCTAGTCCTCCCTGGAGCTGGCGACCAGGCAGGGCCATCCTAGGCGGGAGCCCCGTGTAACATCACACAGCCACACAGAGTTCAGACGTGCGATGCGGCTGGGTCAGAACAGGTTCTGGGTCACCTTTCCCTTCATCCCAAACCTTTGAAACGTTTCAATTTAAAGAAAACCTGCATCAACGTGGGCACATGGCGCCTGGGCTACAGCGAACTGTCGTGTGGGGTCCTGCCCAGGAAAGGCCACGAGCCTGGCTGTTCTAATGCAGCTTTGCTCGCAAAGCCAGTGGGGCCGGTCTGGGCGCCAAGGCCCACGAGGTAGATAATGACTGCCCACCACGCACTGTTTTAGAGTGGCAGTGATGGACCCGGCCCCACAGAGCAGGGAGACAGGACGCCAGGCCCTGAGGGACCGCGTGTAGAACACCACATCGGGCCCTACATGCCACTCCGGGTGCTGCTGGCGCGGGGCTGCCTAGAGGACACGTGTGAGAGCCTGCTACCCCATGGGCAGCCACTGAGGGGGAGCCAGCCACTCACCAGTCCTGCACGGCGTTGAAGGACTCCCCGTTGGTGATGTCATACATCAGGATGAAGCCCATGGCCCCGCGGTAGTAGGCTGTGGTGATGGTCCGGTACCGCTCCTGGCCAGCCGTGTCCTGGAAAGAACAGTACAAGCTCTGAAAACAGGCCATGCATGTTTTAGAACGTGACGAATGACCCCCAACAGGCCCAATAGAGTCTAGCTGTAGCAGCCACACATAGCTGGTATCTGCCTCAGTCATGTCTTTCTGAGTCATTTTCATGGGTTATGTCTGCAAATTATGAAAAACTGTTATTTGGCAAAGATCCACCTCAAAGCACCTTCTATTAGTTCACTCCCACTGGCAGCAGCTCACTGTAGAAAGTGAAGTGAAAAGAAAGATTACACACATCCAATTCTGTGGTGTTTGGTGCAGGTTAAGACAGAAGGTTGCGTTAGCTCCGTCTGTGTGACTGCCAGTGTGTCGCTGTGGGGGCTACACTTATGGGAAGGTCTCTGCGTGTACAGCAAGCACTGGCTCTCGGTTTATTCTGCTGTAAAGTGAGGTTAGATTCTTCTCTGTGCAGATGTCGGCCTCAGACAGACCTTGAGCTCCTGCCTGTCCCTTGATGTTGCAAGCCCAGCTGCTCCGGAGGGTTAAGGGCATGGAACGTGTGGGCCTGGCACACACCCAGTGGTATCAGACAGCCCCACAGATTCAGGCCCAGCCACAGGAGAAGGCCTGGGAGAGCCAAGTCTGAGCGTCGCCAGAATAGCCTGTGTGGGTCACAGGAACTGTGTCCTGTAGCTCAAGGCACTACTGCCCACTCAGCAGCCCACAGGGCTTGGTTGCTGTGGTCCCCAGGACCCCAACGGGCCTGGAATCCCTCCACAGACTGGCACTTTGAACCCAGTTTGTGCGGAAGTATGATCTTCCCCTGCCTGCGGCCTCCTCCTCTTCTTCTTACTCAGTGTGCTCCCCACTTATCCCAACACTCAACAGGCCTGAAGGGAAAGCTAATGTTTCAAATGCCCACAAACAGGTTCCTTATCATAGAGTGAAGCCAGCGTCTCCTGGTCTCCCCATGGGAATGGCTCATCTCTCCCCCTCCCGCTGGGACGCTACCCTGCCCTGGGTCAGCAGCGGGGACTCAGGGCTGCTCCCAACGTCCCTTGATTGGAGTGGTTCAGTCTGAGTTCAGAGAAGGTGGTGGGACCAGACTGAAGAAATCCGCACATGGTTTGGGAGAGTGTCAGGTGTGAAACGGGAGCTGATGCCATGGCTTTGGCAGCACCCGCGAGGCCGTGGTGGACAGGGATCAGGCCGCCCTGGTTAGAGGTGCTCATTCGAAATTATCAGGGAAATAAGGATCCAAAGGGCAGGTGAACACAGCACGGAACCCAAAAGAGCAGAAACAAAGCAACCCTGTGTGGAGAGCCTTCAGAACCCACCGGGGAGGAAGACAAGCAGATTCCAGCACAGGTCACTCGGGCCATTCCTCAGGTACAGAAAGACCCTGTGCGCACAGTGGAGAGAGACACTCACATCACAAGCTGGAAAACACATTCACACTGTACCCGAGACCAAGAGTGATATCTTCAATGTACCAAGTGGTGTTAGAAATCGTATAGATTAGGTTAAATATTCTAATTTTAAAATGTTTTGTAAACTGGCACATTAATAGCTAATTATTTCATAAAAGAGCTGAATCCCAAGTATAATAATAGGAAGACAGCCCTAACTGGTTTGGCTCAGTGGTTAAGAGCGTCAGCCTGCAGACTGAAGGGTCCCAGGTTAAAGGGGGCATATACCTTGGTTTCGAGCACATCCCAAGTAGGGGTGTGTGCAAGAGACAGCTGATTGATGTTTCTCTCTAATTGATGTTTCAAACTCTCTATCCCTCTCCCTTCCTCTCTATAAAAAAAATCAATAAAATATATATTTTTTAAAAAGACAATAATGCATAGTTTCACGTCTATACAGAAGCTACCTAGCCATTATTTAAACATCTTTTGTACTTTTCTTGGTAACTACACTAATAAAAGAGTAAGATGTAAATTTACCATACATTCGCAATGCCCACCAGCCAATCAGGATCGAGTATGTTAATTAACCCAACAAAGATGGCAGGTTAATTTGCAGATGCAGGCGCCAAGGGGCACAGGGCTGGGCAGGATGGCATTCCACACTGCCCCAGCCACTAGGAGGACTCTGGGCAGTGTGGGAAGGCGGAAAGGTAGCTCCAGCCGGAGCGAAGGCGGTGCCTGCAGCCAGGGTAAGGAAGGCCCGTTCTTGTGCAAATCTTTGTGCACCAGGCCTCTAGTTTTATACATTAGAGAAAGCGTGGATGTCATTACTGCATGTAATTGGGACAAATGAACACATTTACTCGGCAGAAGGAAACCAATCTTGAACAAATTCCCAAAGACTATGTTTGGGAAATAAGGTGTAGTTGGAGACTGGGTGATATATTTTATTTATTTTTTATTTATTTTTAAATATATATATTTTATTGATTTTTCACAGAGAGGAAGAGAGAGGGATAGAGAGCCAGAAACATCGATGAGAGAGAATCATTGATCAGCTGCCTCCTGCACACCCCCTACTGGGGATGTGCCTGCAACCAAGGTACATGCCCTTGACCGGAATCGAACCCGGGACCCTTCAGTCTGTAGGCCGATGCTCCATCCACTCAGCCAAACCAGTTTCAGCTGGGTGATATATTTTAGCTCATTAGGGAACAAAACCTCTCATAACAACTCATTCTGTTTTAAAACTCCCACAGTGACTTGAGTTCAGATTTTCCAGAAAATTATCGAAATTTTCCTTTTTTCAACTGTTAATTAACTTTAAATGACTTTCTTCTTCTCTGGGTAAAAGATTCTCTGGCAGCAACTGAGCAGCTCTCTTACAGGCAAGGACCCCCACCCCTCCCACTCTCTGCACAGCACCTGCGCCCCATCCCATCGGAGAAACAGCCAGGAGTGGAGCTGGGGCCCGGTGCCCTCTCCCATCAGGCATGTCCTTGTCAGGGCCTAGAGTCGTGGAGGGATGATGATCCCCTCTTCCCCTGACCTCTTCCCTATGGCTCCCCTCAAAGACACAGTAAAGAACCAGCCCTGGTGTCATCCACACACCAATTCCGCAAGGAGCACATGGAGGCTTTGCAGGGCGAAACCATGACAGAAACGTGACAGGAAACCATAGGAAGAGAGCCAAAACATGTCGCAATTAAACATGAGAGAGAACAAACACAGCGTTCAGGAACGAACATCGAAGCTAATCTAGAAGATCTAAAGGCCTAGCAGGGCAGAACCCTCATTCATCTTGAACCCAGAAACACCATCTAACTAACTGCAGTCACTGTCACAGGAAAGCTCTCGGGAGCATGGAAAGGCACCGAGCTAAGGAGTGAGTGCGAAATGCAGAGTTTCCTCCAACGGCAGAGGGCAGGAGAGAGGACAAAGCTGGCAACAGACACGCTGGCCTGGGCTGGTTTTGGTATGGAAACAATTTCAGGATGATGAGCTCATGAGCTTTCCTCTCCTGTGCCATCAGGGAGAAAACGAGGTCAGACAGCGCTTCACTGCTTCGGCCATTTATTGATGAGGACGGAGGTGATATTAGAAAAAGAACAATTCGCACTGGAACCTGCCCCTCTGTAACCACACGTGGCCGTGGAGGCGAGTGAACGGCCCCTCCCCTTCCTTTGCTGGGAAATGGCTCCAAGCCCTGGAGCTGCTGCTCCCCTGACCAGCTCACCCTAATAGCGGCCAGCGGCCTATTTTCCGTGAACACAGGCCCCTGCGATGGAAGCCACCTGGCACTCTCCTACGGAGAAAACAAGGGACAAAGGACCGAAACGCAGGTTTCTCCCAGGAGCTGTTTTCGTCTCCCTCTTTACGAAAGTAAATCTCTCCAGTTGGTTTAAATGTTTTGATTCTCAATCAGGTTTTCAGAACAAATGTTTTAATGACAGGTTTGATTAGCAAACACTTGACTATCTGTCAAGAAAAGGACTGTGAAATGGGAAACATTTGCAGCTTGAAATATAGAAGCTGGGAACATTTCTGTCTGAATTTTGACATTTTTGTCTTTGTCTTGAATGTATTTCTCTGCTACAACATGCTTTTTACTTTAAAATCTGTGCTGCATTTTCCATCCCTGAGGAGGCCCTGTGGAGACAAGAGGCAGTTTTAACACCAAGGAGACGGCTTTCATTGTGAGGTCTGGGCTCTCCTGTAATTGTTTTCTGTCTTAGTGGTTCCTTTCCTCTGTATTGGATTACACGGAAAATGGAAGTAGCCATTAGTAAAGAAACATAACTCAAATAATATCACCACAAGCAAAACACATTTATTGAATGTTCAGACAGAGGAAAGTAGATAGAATCCTGTACATGATAAAGTGGGTAATTTTATATTTGGAGAAATCAAAACAAAACAGACTGCTGTTGAGACTGTCAACAAAAATAATGTAAATGCTTTAAAGGAAGCAGACTATAGCAACCCAACGGGGAAGGCCACAGACGGAAGCTGAGGAGATGGCAGCACAGACACACTGTGTCTCCAGCAAGTGGCTCCAAATGCACAGCCCATGAGCATTAGCATTCAAGCAGCAGGGACACCTTCGCCTGGATGTGGCTAAGTTCTACCCAAAGCAACTCTTCTGAATTATCAACGAAAGATGAAATCACGCTCAGTATCTTGACTATATAATGACTGATTCATTCATTCTTCATTCATTCATTCATTCAATAAACATTTAGTGAATGCCTATTACCAGTTAGGTACTGTGCCAGGTCCATGTTAATTTCATTTTATCTATTCTAGATATATTTTTGTATATTTTAAACTTCTACACATCAAAGCATTTCATTAATCAGAATGTCACATTCCCTACATGTCTACAAAAGATGAGATAACTTCTAAAGAAACAGCAAGGATAGCAATGTAAAATGGCAACCGAGCCCTAACTGGTTTGGCTCAGTTGATAGAGCATTGGCCTGTGGACTCAAGGGTACCAGGTTCGATTCTGGTCAAGGGCATGTACTTTGGTTGCGGGCACATCCCCAGTAGGGGTTGTGCAAGAGGCAGCTGATAGATGATTCTCTCTCATCGACGTTTCTAACTCTC